AACATTTTACTTTTTTAAAATTTTAATTAGAAGTTTTTCTCTTAAGGTGCTTGCACTTGCCAAAGAGAGAGATAGGGACAGTGAGACGGGAAGTGAGAAATCACCCTGCGGGAGGAATGGCCACATTGCAATCCTTTCTCCAGTCCCCTTCTAGGATCTTGAGCATGCACATATGCACGCCCAGTGTGATTTTCATGCCACTGGGTCCAGGACTAGAACACAGGTGGATCATGTGGGAATCCAGTGATGTAACCAATACACCATCTGCTGGCCCCAACATTTTAGTATTTTTAAACAAGATCTAAGTTAATTGTATCATGACCTAAGAAGGAGGGCAGAATATGAAACTGTAGAAATGTATGATAAGGATGTCCTTCAAGAGAAGTTTGCACATTAATCTGAGATTCATGCAGAATTAGAGTAAACTTTTTGACAAAGTCATGTGTCTATGATAACAGTGAATCGTAATTTTTGGAAAAGTAACATAGTATACTTATTTTTCCTCTTTTTCTAGTTTTTATTTTTTGTTCTTGTCAGAACAGAATTATTTTACTCACTATGCAATCATATACAAGTGAATACTAACTTTTAGTATGAAATAATGTTCTCAGCCTATTTCAGTAACAATCTACAGGCCCGTTAAGTCACTTAATGTCTTCCGCCTTTTCTTTTCTATTACAAATATTGATGGTCACTTATCTGGGTATCTTTCTAATTTCATACACAGGCTTCCAGAAAATCAGACTGATGGAGCCACCTTCATCCTCTTGGGCTTTTCAGAATACCCAGACCTCCAGGTGACCTTGTTTTTGGTCTTCCTGACCATCTACACAGTCACAGTGCTGGGAAACTTGGGCATGATCATCATTATCAGGAAGAACCCCAAACTGCACACCCCCATGTACTTTTTCCTTAGCCACTTGTCCTTTGTTGATTTCTGTTACTCTACAGTAGTGACACCCAAACTCCTAGAAAACTTGATTGTGGAAATCAGAACCATCTCCTTCACAGGATGTATCACTCAATTCTTTTTTGCATGTGTATCTGTGGTGACAGAAACATTTATGTTGGCAGTGATGGCCTATGACCGATTTGTGGCTGTTTGTAACCCTCTGCTCTACACGGTGGTCATGTCTCAGAAGCTTTGTTCCTTGTTAGTGGGTGTATCATATTCTTGGGGAATAGCCTGTTCTCTGACACTTACTTACTTTCTCTTGGAATTATCCTTCAGAGGAAGTAACATCATAAATAACTTTGTCTGTGAGCATGCTGCCATTGTTGCTGTGTCTTGCTCTGACCCCTACATAAACCAAATGCTCATTTTAGTCTCTGCCACATTCAATGAAATAAGCAGCCTGATGATCATTCTAACTTCCTACATTTTCATTTTTGTCACTGTCATGAAGATGCCTTCAGCTGGGGGACGGCAGAAAGCTTTTTCCACATGTGCCTCCCACCTGACTGCCATTACCATTTTCCATGGTACCATCCTTTTTCTTTACTGTGTTCCTAACTCCAAAAGTTCATGGCTTATGGTGAAGGTGGCCTCTGTCTTTTACACAGTGGTCATCCCCATGCTTAATCCTCTGATCTACAGTCTCAGGAACAAAGATGTGAAGGAGACAGTCAGGAAGTTATTCAAAATCTAATTATTTTAAAATTATAGTAGTAGAGCTATGAATTATTTACATTTAGGAGTATTGATACACTTACTCAATAACAAACCAGTACATATTTTGAGTAGCCCTTCAATTAACATTCTAATATCTGTTCCCCTTTATATTTAGTAGTATAACTTTAAAATGACAAATGTTATCACAGATAAAATTCCAGACTACTTACATTAGTATTTGGTTTATTTATTTTTAAACCAGAGGTTTCTAGATATTTATACTTTACCAGACTATTACCCGAGTTAATTTTCAGTTCTAGTTAAGTCTTAAGAAGTATGCAAAATTTGAGAGAATCTGGTTATGATTTACACTGAGTAAATTTACCTCATAATATAAAATTAGTATATTTAGTGCTATTCAGTAAGAACACTAAATATCTAAAAAGTATTTATATTTAATTCTACATGTATCATCTCAGCACTGGAAGATTTCTAGCCAAACACAGAAATAGGAAATATACCTTTCTTACAATATCCAGAATTTGGTATAGTTAAATGACATTTGCTTTTCATTTCCCTAATGATCATTAGTTAAGTGGAACATTTTTTAAGGTTCTTGTCCATTTGTATGTCTTCTTTTGAAAAATATAAATTCCAATTGTTTTCTCTATTTAAATCAAATTATATAATTTTTTCTGAGACTTCATTCAGTTTCTTGTATATTATTAATTCCTTATTGAATTTTACGGTTTGCAAATATTTTATCCCATTTTGTATAAGTGGTTTATTTTATTGATTTTTTTTTGGGAGGGTGAGAAACAAAATTTTTAGCCTGACATAATTCCATTTGTCTAATTTTTGCTTTTCTGGGTACATTTTCTTACTTTTGAATTTTGCTATACGGTATGTGCACTCACTGGAGAGAGACACAGAGTGACAGTGAGAGAGAGAGAGAGAGAGAAAGTGAAAAATTATCTCCTGGGAGAATGGCCATGCTACAATCCCTTCTGCTCCATTCTCCTCCCAGAATTTTGGGCATGCATGACACATACCCAGTGTGATTCTCAATCCACTGCGTCCATTACTCAAACCACAGAGTCAGCCAAGTGGGATCCAGAACCTTATCCATCACACCACCTGCTGGCCCCTAGTTTATTTTATTTTATAATCTGGGCTTTTGATGTCTTATTTCAAGACTCCTTAGCCAGAACAACCACTTAAACTATTTCCTCTACATTTTCTTTTAGTAATTTCATAGTTCCAAGTCTTATATATAATTTTTTTATCCATTTATATAAGAAGAGATAAGAATCTAGTTTCTTTCTTCTACATATGGATTTTTCTCAGCACCTTTTATTGAATAAACTATTATTTCACCCAATAAATATTCTTGGCATCTTTGTTAAAAATTAGTTGATTATATGTATGTGGATTTATTCTGTTTCACTGGTCTATGAGCCATATGATCCAGCAATATCATTATTGGGCATATATCCAAAGGAAAGAAAATATATATATTCTGTACTCCAATAATGTGGCACCATTCACGAAAGCTAAAATTTGAAACTGACCTAAGTGTCCATCATGGACAAATGAATATACAAAATGTGATAGGCATACACAAACAGAGACTGGAATATTAGTGAACCATCAACAAGAATTAAATTTAAAATTCTCTCTTACAAGAAAATATGTACAAGTCTGGAAGACATATTAAGTGAAATAGCCAATGCAAAAAAATCACATTTTCTTACTAGTATGTGGGAACTAAAAAAATTGCTCTCACAGTAATAAAGAGTAGACTAGTGATGACTAATGATTGGGAAGGATAAATAGAGGAGGAGGAGAGAGAGTGCTGCTTTACAGATGTAAATTACAGTTATAGGAATAAGTTCTAGTGTGCTATTGTTCATTGGGGTTCCTATAGTTAACAAAAATTTACTGCATATTTCAAAATAGCTAAAAGAGAGGACTTTGAATGTTCACATCCCAAGGCAATAATAAATATGTAAAATACTGAATATGCAAATTATCACAATTTGGTCATTTTTCATTGTACTTGTATGCTGGAAAATCGCTTTATACCCCATAAATATATAAACTTATCATGTGTCAATTCAACCTATAATACAGAAAAAAAAAAACACACAAAGTAAAGAAAGAAAATTTTTATTTTTTATGTAAATTATATTTTTGCTCTATAAACTAGAATAAGACAAAGGACTGCTTTGCAAATACGTGCCCATAATCCTAATTTTGCTGTTTTCATTAACGTGGTTGTTCATTATTGATTATTTATTACATATTTTTTTGGGGGGGAGAGGTTTTTGCTGTAGGGTGCTTGTACTCACCAGAAAGACAGAGAGAGATAGAGAGAGAGAAAGCGAGAAATCACCCCCCAGGGGGGATGGCCACCCTGCAATCCCTTCTCCTCCATTCTCCTCTCACACACACACACACACACACACGCGCCCAGCATTAGTTTAAGTCACCAGTTCCGGGACTCAAACTGCAGTCGACTACGTGGGAGTTCAGCAACATAGCCATTACGCTAACTGCTGGTCCCTACTTATTACATATTTTTAAGAGAGATTTTTTTTCTATAGGGTACATGCACTCACTGGAGAGACAGATGGAGGGACAGAGAGACAGAAAGTGAGAAATGTGGGATGGCCAGGTCTCAATCTCTTCTCCAGTCTCCTCTTAGGACTTTGAGGATACATACACACATACCTGGCATGTGTTTGAAGCTGCCTGTTCCAGGCCTTGAATTGCAGTCAACCATGTGGGAATTCAGCAAGGTAACCATTACGCCTCTGCTAGTCCCTATTCATTAAAATTTAATTGTGATAATTTTAGACTCAATTTGTCAGAAATGACATAGATTCCAATGATTGGTTACCCAGCTCTGCCATGATAATATAACAAAACCAAAGTATTGATACTGATATAATACACAGATATTATTAGGCATCAGTTATTTGTTGAAGAAAAAATCGTATAATCCCAGGTAACATATAGGCATATCCAATTCTGCGTCAGTGACTTGACTACAGTATCTCTGCTCATACTAGTTGAACCACTTGGGTATCAAGACTAGGCTTACTTGATCAGCTAACCTCAGTCTACAAGCCTGTGCATAAGTAATCTTCCTTGGGTCATCCAGCTAATGGTCTTAGTTGTAAGCAGTCACAATAAGGTAAATAAAAAATAATGGCATACTTCAAGTCCTTGTAAGAATCTAATATTTTAACATTTTATGATTCACGACACATCAAATGACTACATATAAAATATTACTGGGCCTTTCTGCTATGGAGTAACATATATAACATTCATGTAAGCTGTTGCATACCATTCAGAAAGTAATCTGTTAGGCACAGTTCCAATGGCACAGGAAATAGGGTGTGATAATGAAGCTGTATGGGAAGCTGGGGTTCAGATCCTCAGTCAACCTGAACACCGAGGACATGTCCATGTTCCTGGCCCACTGGAAGGCTTGGGAGAGGATCACAACATAGAAAAACACTCTCAAGGTTCCCTGTGTTAATTTCTATATACCTTGTTATCTGTTACTCCACTAAGAAGCATACAACTGACTTTAATAGTTTGCACATCCTCAACAAATGTCTTACCTTAGCTCTTCAAGGAAAAATGTCTCATTTTACTTATTGCAATCACAATTTAAAAGAGTAGTATACAATTAATATGTAGAAAAATATCTATAGTTATGACTTAATATAGCTGTTAGTGAAGTAATAATATTATCTAAAACATGTTTGTCTTTAAGAGTTTGATGTCTATTTTCAGAGTGAAAGTACAACTTCAAAATAAACTCAGACTTTAATTCCATTTCTCCATAATCTTTTTTCTTTTTTTGGAGAGGTTTTTGCTATAGGGCATGTGTGTTCACCAGAGAGACAGAGAGACAGAAAGCGAGAAATTACCCCCCAGGGGGGATGGCCATGCTGCAATCCTTTCTCCATTCTCCTCTCAGGATCTTGGGCATGCATGCACACGTGCCCAAAGTGAGTTTAAGCCACCAGGTCAGGGACGTGAACCGCAGTCGACTCCATGGGAGTCCAGCGACATAGCCATTACACTAACTGCTGGTCCCTCCATAATCTTTTTGAAATCACACACATATTATTGTTAATTATAATCACTCTACTGTGCAGTAGGTCAATAGAATTTGTTTCTCCTAACTATAACTTTGAATCCACTGGACCACCTCTCTTCAGTCCCTAGACTGGTCTATCATTTCCAACCTCTGATAAACACCATTCTCCTCTATACTTCTATGAGATCAGCTTGTTTCAGATCCATTCCACATTCAAGATAGGTTCAGCGCTAGCTTTAACCAGGGAAAATGGATATGCAAGTATTCTATAGCTTTAGAGAAATAACACACAACTGAAATTTCACAAGACAGCATTAATCTAATTGCTCAGTTTGGACAACTCCCAAGGCAATCTGTACTTCAGTGGTATTCTCTAGTCTCCAGATCCCCCAAGACTTGATGGACATATTTGAGACTTGAGTTTGGTCCTAGATTTAGTATTTAAATGATATCTTGTCTCTGCCTTATCTGAGTTTTCTTAAGAGTTTGGGAAAAAATAATATGTAAAACATTTAATGAAATATACTGAAACAATTTACTACTGTTTCCAAATCGATTTCTTTTAGTTAAATACAAATCCGGAGTACTGGAGTTCACTAATCTTAGTAAAGGATTTCTTGGCAAATGCATCACTCAAGAGTCTCTGTTTTTGGGTGAGTTGATTCACTTCTTTTACTTTATAACAGAAGAAAAATATTGAATTCCTATACTATTTGAAGGAAATAAACACCTGTGTAGAGAAAATGCCCAGGATTTCAGTGAATTTTACTGGGAAATTGTGATATATTTGATTATTTTTTCCAAGTAATATTCACCCTGGTTTTCTCACTTGATATGAACTGCATACCCATTGATAGAATCGAAGTTTTGGCAAATGGAATATATTAAAAAAAGAAAAAAAAAGTCTTATCTTCAATCTTCCTAAAATCACTGAGTATTAGTGACAATAACAATCATACCCATAAATTAGAGCCTATAGTTTATGCTAATTTTAAGTGATGAAAATTAACATACATATAGACAAGAAATGAAAAGTGTTTATTCCAATAAATGGAAAATAAAACATAACTGTGAAGATAAGACGAAAGCATATTTTTAAGCAAATAAGCAGGTGTTATTACTTGTTAAATTACCCAGGACTAGGGAAGAAAGAACATGTTTGTTGTAATGATATTGAATATTTATACCTGTCCAGTTTGGGAAAATCAGCATGACCAATGTAGATTTCATACTTTCATTAAAGGAAAACATTTGGGGGACCAGCAGATAGCCTAACAGATATGTTGCTGAACTCCCACATGGTAGACCACTGTTCAAGTTCCAGATATAGTGGCTTGAAGCTCATACTGGTGCATGTTCATGCATGCCCACAATCCTGAGAGGAGAATGAAGGAGAAGGGATTGTGGCGTGGCCATCCCCCGGGGTGGTGGTGATTTCTTGCTTTCTGTTTTTCTGTCTCTCTAGTGATCACATGTGCCCTATAGCAAAAATCTCTCTATAAAAACAAACAAGAAAGAAATGCATTTGGAATCTTAAAGGTCATTGTTAGTTAAAAGTGATTATAGAAATTTCATAAAATATCACAGGAACGATTTTAAATGGAATAAGTTTGGCTAGGAAACGAACTTATATAATTTTATATTGCTAAGACATTATAACTAATAAAGGATTGCTGTTTTTCTTTTTCATATCTTTTACTTGTTTAACATACATTCCTCTAGCATTCATTGCTGCAGTTGTACTATCTAGAATTAACAGGTAATCAATTAACATCAAAATGGATTTCTAACTAGATATTTCTCCTTGTTTAAGGTTTAAACTTAATTTAAAATGACAGAATGCATTTTTTTCCCTCATAGGGTGCTTGCATTCCCGAGAGAGAGAGAGAGAGAGAGAGAGGGAGAGAGAGAGAGAGAGAAATGAGAAATCCCCTCCAGGAGCGATGGCCATTCTGGAATTTCTTCTCCTCCTTCCCTCTGTATTTTGGGCACACATGCACATGCACACAGCATGATTCTCAAGCTGCTGCGTCTGAGACTCAAAATATGATGTGGCCACCAACTGGCCATAGACGTATTTTTGACACATCCCAAATTTATTTCAGAACATAGGTGTCATTGTCACTAATCCCCCTTACACTGGAAAGTAAACAGTTTTCATGAGATTTTCTTTAAAGGTATTTTTAAAAGATTTTCTTTAATTCACTAGAGAGAGACATAGGGTGCATGTACAAATAGGCTCCCGGCATGATATTCAAGTTGCCAGGTCCAGAATTTGAACCATGCAGTCAGCCATGTGGGAAAACAGCTGCTTTAACCACCATAATCCTATGCGGGTCACTTCAACTATTTTATCACAGTATGCACAGCACGTATTCAGTTGTGATAACATTTAAATAAATAATATAATATGCTGTTAAGAATAATATTTAAAATTTTTCAAAATTAGTTCAACACAAGTAAAATGTTCCATGTCACTACAGTCCAATGCAGAATGTGTTGAGAATACTAGGCTCTCGTGACTGAAGAGAAAAAAATAACATTAAATTTAGTATTTTAGAGATATAGTAACATTTTACAATTTTTAAACAAGATCTAAGCTAATTGTATCAAGACCTAAGAAGTAAGGCAGAGGAGTCATTGGTTGGCGTCATGGCCAAGATGCTGTATATTCACATGGTTGGCCTCTGTTTGAGCCCAGAAACCTGTGACTTGAAAATCACACCAGGTGTGTGTGCATGTGTGTGTGTGTGTGTGTGTGTGCATGTAATCACAAAATAAAGAAAGGAAAATGAAGGAGACGGGACGGTGGAGGGATGGTGGAGTGTCCACCCTCCCTGGGGCATGATTTCTCACTTTCCCTCTCTCGGTCTCTTCTCAGCAAGTACATGAATTCTGTGGGAAAAACAAAAAAAAAGAGGCAAAGAAGAAACTGTTGAAACTTATGATAAGGATGTTTTTCAAGGAAGTATGCATGTCGCTAGTTGGTGATATAGTAATTGGGATGCTGTACTTCCACATGGACGATTGTGGTTTAAGTCCCAGACCCGGAGGCTTATAAATTATGCAGGGAGCATGCACATGCATGCCCAAAATCCCAGGAGAAGAGTGGAGTGTGTGTGGGGATGGAAACTGTTGAAACTTATGATAAGGATGTTTTTCAAGGAAGTATGCATGTCGCTAGTTGGTGATATAGTAATTGGGATGCTGTACTTCCACATGGACGATTGTGGTTTAAGTCCCAGACCCGGAGGCTTATAAATTATGCAGGGAGCATGCACATGCATGCCCAAAATCCCAGGAGAAGAGTGGAGTGTGTGTGGGGATGGTTGCAAAGTAGTCATGGTATACTTTATCCCCCACCCCCCCGATTATCCAGTTTTTTTCCTTATTCCATTCAGAAAAAAAAAAAATCGCCCTTACTGTGCAACTGCTATACAAGTGAATATTAACTTTTAGAATAAAATAACATTAAAAGCTTACTTCAGCCACACTCCATAAACCCATTGAACTTCTGAAAGTTTTTCTCTTTTCCTTTTCTGTTACAAATATTGGTTGTCACTTCTCTGAGTTGGCTTTCCAATTGTGTTCACAGGATCCCAGAAAATCAGAGTGCAGAAGTCACCTTCATCATCTTGGGCTTCTCAGAATATCCGAACCTCCAGGTGCCCTTGTTCCTGGTCTTCCTGACCATCTACACAGTCACGGTGCTGGGGAACTTGGGCATGATCATCATCATCAGGATAAATCCCAAACTGCACACCCCCATGTACTTTTTTCTTAGTCACTTGTCCTTTGTTGATTTCTGTTACTCTACAGCAGTTACACCCAAACTACTAGAAAATTTATTTGTGAAAGACAGAACTATCTCCTTCACAGGATGTATCATGCAATACTTCTTTGCCTGCACATTTGTGGAGACAGAAACATTCATGTTGGCAGTGATGGCCTATGACCGATTTGTGGCCGTTTGTAACCCTCTGCTCTACACAGTGGTCATGTCTCAGAGGCTTTCTTCCTTATTGGTTGGTGCATCATATTCTTGGAGTATAGTCTGTTCCTTAACATTCACATCTTTTTTGTTGACTTCAACATTCCATGGGACTAACTTCATAAATAACTTTTTCTGTGAGTATGCTGCTATTGTTGCTATTTCCTGCTCTGACACTTACATTAGCCAGGAGATCACTTTAGTGTTTGCCACATTCAATGAAATAAGCACCCTGGTGATCATTCTTACTTCCTATGTTCTCATTTTTATCACCGTCATGAAAATGCCTTCACGTGGGGGACACCACAAAGCCTTATCCACATGTGCTTCCCATTTAACCTCCATCACCATTTTCCATGGTACTATTATTTTTCTGTACTGTGTTCCTAACTCCAAAAGTTCACGGCTTACGTCAAAGGTGGCCTCTGTCTTTTACATGGTGGTCATCCCCATGCTTAATCCTCTGATCTACAGTTTTAGGAATAAAGAGGTGAAAGAGACAATTAGAAAGTTAATCAATACCAAGTTATTATCTTATAAATTATATTAATAGAAATATTATTTAAGGGACCAGCAGTTAGCATAATGGCTATGTCGCTGGACTCCCATGTAGTCAACCGCAGTTTGTGTCCTGGACCCCGTGGCTTAAAACTCACACTGGGCGCGTGTGCATGCGTGCCCAAGATCCCAAGAGGAGAATGGAGGAGAAGGGATTGCGGCATGGCCATCCCTCCTTGGGTGGGGGGGGTGATTTCTCCCTTTCTGTCTCACTGTCTCTCTCTGTCTGTCAGGAGAGTGCACGCGCCCTATCACAAAAAAAAACTCTCAAAAAAAATATTATTTACTTTTGGAAGCACTGGTGCAATGGTTCAATAACAAATCAGTACATGAGTTTATGGTAACATTCTACCTGATAGTCTAATATCTGTTTCTTCAAATGTTCAGTAAAATATGTTTGAAATTGCAAAGATTATTATGAATAAAAATCTCAGATAAGTTACATTTTTGATTCAGATTTTTTAATGTAAAAGTTTCTATATTAATATACTTACCATATAATTGCCTTGGTCACCTTCCACTAAGTTCCATTAAGTCTTATGAACTTAGGAATTTTTAGGATAAATTAAAGAATTATATTTTACAAAGAGAAAGTTTACCTTACAATGGAAAACTAGTATATTCAGAGGTATTCATAATAAAACATCAAAAGTTAAAAATACATACACCTAATTCTTCATGAACTATTTGTCTGTAGAAAATTATTGAAGAAATAATAATAAACAAAAAAAAACTTTCTTGGGACCAGCAATTTTAGCATAATGGCTATGTTGCTGGACTCCCATGTAGTTGACTGCAGTTTGGTCCTGGAGACTTAAACTCATGCCAGGCATGTGTGCGTACGTGCCCAAGATCCTGAGAGGAGAATGGAGAAGAAAGGATTGCGATATGGCCATCCCCCTAGAGGGATGGTTTCTTGCTTTCTATCTCTCTGTCTCTCTGGCGAGCACATGTGCCCTATAGCAAAAGCCTCTTAAAAAAAATATATATATATATATACAACTTTCTTAAAATGACTAGAATTTTGGTGTAAATTATGTTTGATATTGTAAATTACACGTATTTTCTCTGTTCTTGAGGAAGAAAATTATCTGTTTTGCAAATATATGCCCATCACCCTAATTTTGCCACCTATGTCCATTTAGTTGTACATCAGTTACTTATTCTTTTAAAAAAGTATAATTTGTATTGAGATAACTTCAGATTCATTTTCACTTGTAAGAAAGAACTTAGAGAGATCCTAATTGTTGCAGAAAGACAGACGCCAAGGGACGAAAACGTAGCACCCCAGAGAGAAAAAGGAGAACTCTTTATTACAACAGCCGGCATGAAGAAGTTAACATTCTGTGTCTCTGGTCCCAGCTGAGAGTTGAGCACAGTCTTTTATGGGTGAATTTGGGGAGGGACAGTTTCAATGTGTTTGAAGTGTCTTAGGGAAAAGGATTAGTGTCTGTCCTAATACAGAGCTGGCAACCTGCTCAAGACCTCATTTCAGGGGAGAAGCATCTACCTCACAGGGGAACAGAAAGTCCAGGCAACTATCAGTCCAGGGTTTCTTCAAGGTTACTCATAAGTTCTGAGCTGCTCCACATCATTATGATCTTTAACTTGGTTTCCCCCATGATATTGCAATATAACAAACACAATATTCATATTTAAACAATATACATGTGTTATACAGGCATCAGTTACTTACTAATGAAAACAATTATAAACTACAGGCATATATAATAATAAGTAGTTATTTCAATTAGTGACTTGATTGAGAACATAGCTCTGCTGATGTAAATTAGACCACTTGGGCAACAGGAATTGGTAAGTTTTGTTGGTTTTATCTTGTTTGTTCAGTTTATTTAATTCTTTAATGAAAGAGAAAGGGAGAGATAGGGAGAGAAAGAAGCAATCATGGCAGGGTCTCCATGTCATGATCCACCCCTAGCTTTCACCAGGCTAGATGAAGGGCATATGCACCCCCATACTCAGCATGCACACAAGACCCAAATTTTATTTTTTATTTTATTTTATTTTATTTTTTTAGAGGTTTTTGCTATAGGGCCTGTGCACTCACCAGGAAGATAGAGACAGAAAACAAGAAATCAACTGGGTCCAGGACTCAAACTGCAGTTGACTACATGGGAGTCCAGTGATATAGCCATTATGCTAACTGCTGGTTCCCCTAAATTTTATATTGTATCTAACCTCTGTTAACACTATGTTACCATCTGACCTAAAGATCAGGCATTTTAGGGGCCAGTAGATGGTATAGTGGTTAAGGCACTAGACTCCCACGTGGTCAACCACAGTTCAAGAGATGGACCCTGCAGCTTGTGTGCCCAAATGCCTGGAGGAAAAGGGATTGTGGTATGACCATCCTACCTGGGGGGTGATTTCTCGATTTCTCTCTCTCTCTCTTTCTTTCTAATAATCACATACACCCTATAGCAAAAATCTCTCTCTCTCACACACACACACACACAAAAAAAAAGAAAAGAAAAGAAAAGAAAAGAACTCATGACTAAACCCAAATTCAAGAGGTGAGAAAATTATCTGCCATATATAGAACTAGAAAGTTACAAATAATGGTCATAGGTACAAGGAAAAGTGAAGATTTAATATCAGAATTTGTTAGAAATAAATTTTTAAAAATCAAACATATTTAACACATTTTTTCTGAGTAATGGCAAATAACTTTATTGCAAGTAACAGATAATTTATTACTATAACTAGTTTTAGTATAATTTTCAGCCAAATGGTTGATTGAGCTTAAATGTTAAAATTTCACTTTGCCCCTGTATCTTAGTAATCATCATTAAGGCTTACAAGAAGATGTAGGGAGATATCCATGTGCTGGAGTTTCAACTCAATCTATCAAATGTTAATTGTTCCTTCTCAAGACTTAATTTATTTGCAAATAAAGATGAAATTCTTTTGCTATAATTACTTCTTATATAATTTACTGGCTAGGTATGTAAAACAAAATTCTGAACACTGTTAGAATATGACAATATTAGAAAAACTTTCACTCTCTTTTCAATTATCTGTCAGACAGGGTTCATAAGTAATGTTTTAATCGAATATCTTAAAACTTTTGCTTATGTACATAGTTAAATAAAAAGAACACAAAAAGGAATTAGGTAGTTTGAGCATGCATCATGGAATATTGGTATATTCAATACATTTATAGGATTAAAAATTAGACTATCTCAGTTGCCAGGGTCCAGCCTCAGAGGGGGTGGGTTGACTCGTCAGAGGCGGCACAGGAAAGGAAGAAGACTAAGGCCTTGGTGCCTTTTTCATGCACGTCCTTAGCCAGACATCCCCAGAGATTGCTCTCTGAGGAGTGACAACTGCTAGGAATCATCGTACCTTTTTATTGAAAATATGTTACATGCAAGTAAATGGGTGAGGGGTTATGTGTTCTAATTATCAGTTCAATAGGGATTATAGATTCCATTCAGGGTTGGATTAAGGGTGGGTCTATTGAGGTTCCACAATTGTTTGTTTGATGTATGTGGGTCTCCATGGAATGCAGTTGGGAATGCAGTTCCAGCAAGCAGAGATAATTATCAGCTGATGTGACGTGGCAGCCATCTTGTAATTACCAAGCACGATGATGAGAAAAGAAAATCTCAAGTATAAATATTACTTCTTATGGATTTCAATAAAGAATGATACTTATATAGTTTTATAGGGATCTAAAACTTAATTTAAGGAATCCTAATATATTTATCTATTTCACCTGGTGAGGGCGTGGGCCAGTTTTGGCCTAGTCTTATTTTATATAAAGAAAAGATTATCTTTAAGCTTATGTTAAATGTATCTTGAAGGGCCTTCCAAAGGTCAAGATTATTTCTGCCTAGATAGAACTTCAGCATACCCTCTATTGTGACCACAGAGATAAAGCATTGTAATTAACAGTAGGTGATCAGGGCCAAGGGGAGTGGTTAGGGGATTTTTGGGAAAATCTCATCACATACTCAAGAGAGCTATGTAATTTTTTATAGTAGGATATCAGGGAGTCAGAGGAGGGTCGCTTGCCAGCAAGGCTACCACAGTTGCTGGAGCAAATAGCAAGCAGCCTTGCCAACATGCTAATTTGACCTAAGTTTTATTCCTTAGTCCAGGGGGGGGGGGACACAGCAGCAACCTTGCCAACATGCTGACCCGACCTAAGAGGTAGAGGTCAAAAGCTCAAAGCAGATCCTGGGCCCTACCGGGTCAGACAACTCCACTCAGTACTATTTTTTAGAGGTTTTTGTCTTAGGATACATGCACTCACTATAGAGAGACAAAGTAAGAGGAAAATTAAGAAATCATACCTTTGGGGGGAACGCCATGCCACAATTCTTTCTCTTCCATTCTCCTCCTGGGATCTTGGGTATGCATTTACGTGTGCCTGGAGTGATTTTCAAGCCACTGAGTCCCAGTCTCGAAACACAGTCACCAATGTGGGAGTCTAGCAAGGCAGCTGTTTCACCATCCGCACCAAGACTTTACTATTTTTAACCATTGATATTAGAATGATGTAATTTGTCAGGAAGTACTCTAATCTTCTTTTAATGAAAATATTTTTATGAAATCAAGAAATAATAAGTAATTGCAAATTCCTTTGAAATAAGATATTTTTATTTTAGTAAATAGTCTTGAATAGGCAATTGTATTCATAAATGTAATGTTGTTTTTGTATATTAATTCTCAAGTTGTACTTTCAACATGAAAGTAGACATTTAAAATATGAACTTAAATACAGTTTAGATAATATAAGTTATTTCATTGATATTTGTATTACTTGATATTTATGGGTATTGTGTATGTGTGTGTGTGTGTGTGTGTGTGTGTGTGTGTGTGTGTGTGCATTTTATTTTTCTTTTAAACATTTAAACTGTTAGTATATATGTGATTTTTTTCCATAAAGTGTTGTGTGGCAAGACATGTCCTGGGGTAAGCAAAGCACTAAAGAGTGCTACACAATATAATGTTCACTGTTTAGTA